ATGCTCTCTCAGGTGTGTGAACAGAGATACGGGCCAATATCCGACTAGTGTACCCGACCCGAATTGGAGCCACCAGTGTCCATGCTTTGGGTCCTACACGTGGAATTTTGACATATTATTGCGTTATTGGAATAATTCTAAACTATCAAAGATGGAATTCATGTATCGGAATCAGTTGAGTGAGCTATGCTGACCATGCAAAGCATATGATGGATAAGCCATGTGCATGGTTTTAATCAAGAATATTAGTACTATAATTTAAGGGAGACACTAAATTAGTGCTCAAATCAATTGCGTTTAAATTGTTAGGAGACAATTCTATTAAATTAATGTGACGTGCAATAAGTCAATAACTATATGGTAGACACTTAAGAGTACTCAAAACTCGAGTTAAAGTCCTTCTTTATGCGGTTGTGCGTGCCCCACGGCCCCCACCCAATGGGAACAGATTCTAGATAAAGGATTAGTAAGTATAAACTAATCAAATGGTTATGCATGGAAAAGAGAAATACCTTCCATATCAATAAACTTATATCGAATTGTCCACCTTTATACGACGAAACGGGTGAAATTGCCGCTCCGATTGCGATTCGATTGTTTGTTTGAACAAAACCAGAACATAGTAAGTTATAGCATCCTGTTGCTTGGTAGGCATCCGACTGCAACAACACAAAATAGTAATAGCTTTTTAATAATTTTAAGAAAAACAGAAAAACAAAAAGTTTTTGATCAAAAGATAATGGAAGTTGGATGAAAAGTTATACCGTCCAATAGGTGAAGAATCTTGGATTAGTGTCTCCGTACAGCTCCGGACTAATCTGTCCAACATAATCAAAATGCTAAAAATTTAGAAGCATTTAGTCTAAGTAAATACTACCTCTGTTCCTAAAAGATTGATTTTCTAGAGATTTCACATATTTTAAGAAACAATCATTGTTTAATTATTTATTTTTATTAAACATTTTTAATAACCTATGAACCAATAGTAATCTGAAACAGTTAATCATTACGTCTTGAAATCTACGAAAATAAACTAAAATTAAAGAAAAAATCTAAAAAATCAATCTTTGTGGAACAAACCAAAACGGTAGAACATCAAACTTTTAGGAACGGAGGGAGTAAGAGATACAAATACAATTACAATAAATTATTTCTATGAAAAAATAAGGAGGTGATGGATGACACGTGCCTGCCAACCAGCTTCGATGGTATTAAGATCGTCGGCGAAAGAACCGGCGATGACCCAAATCTGAGATAGACTAAACTCGTATTGGCTTATGACACGTGGCGTCCACACGTTTATACTTGCTTTTGCTCCGTAATATTGACTTCCCGATACGTATCCAACCGCATGCTACAATTTATTTCCATAATGCTAAAAGATAATTTGTTTGTAAATCGAGAAAAAAAAAAAAAGTGGAACTAGAGAATTATATTTCTTTTTTTTCTTATAGATTTGAGCAAAGAATAATATTCACTCTGACAAGTAAAATTCTGTTTATGGCATTGCAAAGATTTGCGAGAAAGGTAGTTTTTGGTATTATTAATGTATCTATCTGTTTTTTCAAAAGAAATTAAGAAAAGTATATAAACGTCTGACTTTATGATAAAGTTAATTAATCTAATGATACGTACCTCGTGGCCATTACTGCTCGAATCCCTTCTCACGCGCCTGATTTTCCGACCAAATCTACGGACAGAACTTGCTCTTAACATGTCTTGTTCAGTCGTTCTTCTGATCGGAATCGTACCTTCCGGGCAAGACTCACCGGACAAGCTCCAAAGCTGAAAATTTTCATAGGATTCGTTTTCTTGGCTATACCCTATGGGCATCTCCGGTGGATCCTAAACATGTTTTCAGCGAAGTTAGAGGCTTTTGAGATTGAAATAGTTATAATAAGAAGAACAAGAAAATGTGAGTACCATTGGTCTTTGTCCTTGTAACAAAGGATGATCAAAAGCAGGCTGGTTATGAGATGGAACACAATCTATCGTATCTCCATCTGAGCTCTGCAAACATCACAAGAACATTACATGACTTAGTTTATATATAGAAGAAATAAACAGTTTAAGGAATAGAGTTTTTGGATTTACATGAATGGTCTTGATGGCTGGTTTATTGATCTTTTGGAGTTGTTTTCTGATGAGCTTCAGCTTTTGAATCTCTTTTAGAGGCCGGAGAATCTCAGTTTCAGATGTCGAATTTGGTGGAGAAGCAGAGGAGGAGAAGAGACAGAGTAAGAGAATGAAAATGAAGATCAAACAAGAAGAAGAAGACATTGTAATGGCTGAGGAGTGAGGATGAGTCTCCTCTTTTTCACGGTATTGACTTTTCTGAAGAGTATGTAAAACACTTTTTGTGTGGTGTTGATGTGTGATGAAGATGAAGGCAAAACATTTATTGCAAGCTTATTGTTGTTGTTCGTCTTCTTCATGTCACTGACACATCTTTCAACAAACCCATTAAAGACATAAGTCACTTCTCTAAGTAAACCTAGACCCCCAAAGAACCAAGAATTAATGAATCAACTCACCCCTCAAAAATAAATGAATTAGTGTATAGTAGCGTAAATTGATAGAATTCTGTGTTGAGAAAGTTTTGGAGCATGTGGGTTTACACATAAGGTGATATAAATACTAGGTAGTGATGAAATCATGGAATGGTGTTAATTTTTTTATTTACTAGGGTTTTGGGAGGAATTTTGTATATTAATTAAATGATGAAAAGGAGAGAATAGATTTTGATGCAGCTTTATCGTAATGTGAAAACGGTAATTTTGTGGTAAAACATGGATTTGGTTTGAAAGATAAAAGTTGAAAACTTAAGATCTTGATTTTCTCAGTTATTCTAGACGTTTAACTTCTGTTTCCACTTTCCACATACATTTGAATATCCAGCTACTTTAACAATCTATTATTTATTCCATCGTGTCAAAGAAAACTAACACTCATTTAGTTTTACATTTCGTCATATTAATTTTGGTACGTATGTGTTGGTCGATTTCTCTTGAATATACTAAAAGGTACATTGTCCTTTGTCCAAAATTATTTAACTAAAAAATAGTTTTTCATAAGTCTCAAGCAATTGGGCATAATGATTTGCAAAGCATGAATTTTCATGTTACTACGACCTACAAGGATGCATGCATGAAGTACTTATAGGCTCCAACATCCAAACTCCAAGAACTCGTTCGTTAATTAATATTTAAACTCAAATTTTTTAAAAATGTATGAATGTAAAATTATATTCAACAAAAAAAAACTGTTTTACAATGAATGCGTCAACAAGTGGAAAGTTCGAAAAAAATTAGAAGAGTTTGATATATAGAAAAATTAATTGCCACTAGTCTGAAACCAGTAGTGTAAACCTCCTTCAAAGAGTGGTGAATCCGTCAAAGTGATTACGAATGTTACCAATGCTTCTTAACATTTTAAACATTTAGGCCAATGAGTTTATTAAATAGCAAAAAGATAGATAAGTTTGGTTACTTAATATATTACTACTTGAGATGCTTTAGATTGATATATCTTAGATATTTGGCTCAAGGTGCTCGTCCACCTGGATATTTCCATTACAAACAAATAAAATCAAGTGTACTGATTATCGTGTTGGAATTTTTACTAGGCACCTTAAATTTTTAGAATTCACTATTTAATCTTATATAACTTGGTCTAGAAGAGAATCGTTTTTAATAAAGCAAGTAGTCAAGTACGAAGTGTGGAATGGACCTCGAGAGTGAATTTGTTAAAATGATATTGTCTAGTCTTTAAAAATCGAGGGAATGATTGAGAGCCAAAGCATGCAAACATGTAATGTTGCCTTTGGATTTCTATTATATATTTAATTTCATAACTTTGGTATAAAAAAAAAACATGATTGGATGCGTTTAATATGAATGTTCCTAGCCAATCATGATTTTGTTATTTCTCATTATTTTTCTTTTTGACAAAACGAAAAAAAAAAAAAAAGATTACACATATAAATTTGACCAGACTTTGACGCTTAAGTTTGACTTACCATGCCTTCAAAAGAATCAAATTCAGCTTGATTTAGACCTTGAGAAGTTTAGCAATGAACAATATATACTATCAAATGTGCAACAAATGTATATAGGAAAAAAATAACAGTTAGAGTAACATTTTAATAATTATTTGATAGGAAGATAGAGAAAAGGAGAGAGAGAGAAAAAAAGTTAAAGAGAGTTAAAGATGAGTATTAAAGCTAACAAAAGGAGAATGGAAACAGTTTGATGTAAGAGCAATGATAGTGTCTCTAAAGCAACCTCGAGAGCTCAGCTTTTTCCAATTTTATCTCGAACAATACCAGTAAGGATCTTAGTTAATTAGATCATTAAGGACATAATGTTTGAAACAAAGTACGTTTCGGCGTTGGAGTTATTAACTATGACATGATGAGACATGATTTACAAAGCGGCGTGAAAGGTTGGACGTTAATGTTCGGACCATGCATTAACTTTGTTTAGGGTACATCATAATGGATACCTATTGTGAGTTGTCCATTAATGATGTAACCATGACAATATTACAGATTCTAATACACGTACTAGTTAAGAAAACCAAAAAAAAAAAAAAGAGAGGTTAAGATTACACATTGAACATGCGATTATCTATCATTTTAAGGGATTTTTTGCAAGTATTATCATAGGTCATAGGGGGAAAATCTGCCTGAGGTGAATTGCAATTTCTTTTAACAAGTTGCATTGCCTTGGTTTAGCTACATTGGGCTGATTTTCGATAAATCATATGATTGTCTTTCTTTTTGTGGAAGCATTTGACCCTTACTTGTAATTGTCTTTCAAAATGACAAAAGTTTTACTCGCATCCTTAAATCTGAATTTAGATATGATCTCCCTCCTCCAAATAAAGAAAACCTATTAATTAAAGACTTTTGTTTTGCAATGGTTGCGGTTGAATGCTTAATTTCTCTCAAAATAAACCTACAGATTTAGAACCTCAAATCAAAGAGTGAAAAAGAGAAGTAGAACAGTATATCTAACTAATATAACATTACGAATTAAAACTTTTAAGACATGGAACAGAAATTGACATGTTTGAAATTAGAACCCGGTGTCCAAACATTTTCCATCTACATACACACATGATCGTCATCCTCTCTCTTTTTGTTTGTTTTTCTTGTTTTTTTTTAAGTGAACTTAATCAAATTAAAGAAATAAAATAACAAAGAAATAAACCCATAAAAACATTTTTTCATTCGAAATCCCCAATTCTCCTTAAAAATCAATGTTTAACGAGGGTTGAGAGCGCCAAGCAATTATCAGCCATTTTATACAAAACGCCAGCAGATTTATAAATGACGTTGATCTCCCGAGTTTCCTTCATCGCGTCGCTGCAAGTATCGTAATCCGTCAACGCGGCACTAAGGTTAATGTTAAGGCTAAAACCATCATTTTCCTTAATGTTGGTAAGAGCCTTGTCCAAATTGTCAAACGCGCTATTGAAGTTGGACAAACAAGTCGCGACTCCTCCATCGCGTTTCAGCTCTTTCTCGGCGATTTCTTTGGCTTGCCTCGTCCGTTTCATCAGCTCTCTAATGGCCACATCCGTCGCTGCGTTCACATTAGTTTGACCCTTAATGGTACCTCTGCACAATGCCGGAAAATCCGAGACCGTGCAGGGGTCAGCGAGAGAAAGACTCAACGCTGCCATGCTTTGGCTTGAGGTAGCGGCGAAGAGGAAGATCGCCCCGAGGACGGTCATATAGGGATTGATAGACATTGTGTGTATGGTATATACACGGAAACGTATATATATTGTGTGTATATATACACGTTCTTGTGTTTGTTTGTTGAACACCGGGTGGTGGATTAGTTTTGATGAAGAAGAGGGAGATGAGTTTATATATGGGTATGCAATAAAATGGTTATATTTAGTTAGTTTTTGAAGAAGTATTTTGACTGATTTGCCACCGGTGAATTAGACTGGACATTTCTATTTTGGTATGTGTTGTTAATTAGGTATGATATTGGGTTATCGTTTTCTTGTTAAATTGATTGTATTGTTTTGAACTTATTTTGTTTTTCTATTTTGGGGACAAATCTATATTTTCTGTTTTCATATGGATGTCTTTGAAATTGAGTTGAATTTCAGTTACATATGTACAGTATTATGTCAGCATATATAGCTAAGATTAAGAATTATTACTTTTACCAAATGGTACGTAAATACGTAATTGATAAGATAAGAGATAAGATCTTTTTGGATGAAACGGCTAATTAACAAACAAAGAAAAGTGATTTGTTTAGGTTTATTGTGGTGGGTTTTGTGTGAATTTCGAGTTGTGAATTTTCTTGTTGCTCTAACTAATATTGAAAAAAAAAAGATACAATCCTGATATAGTGACTTAGAAGAATTTTAAATTAATAATGCTACTAATTATTTGCACACTATACTTTAATCAACCACCATATTTACCAAAACAATGTAAATTAAACTTTTTAATGTGTTTTCTATCATTTAATTACTTGATATAGTGTATGTCACCAAATTTATTAACGTGTATCAAAATTGAAGATGCGGGGACCTAATTGTACTTCTAAAAACGTCATATGTTACTGGTTGTAGCAAGTTTGGATATGAATTATGAAGTTACTAATCCATGAAAAATGTCTTAAATTACTAATCCATGTAGGGCACCATTACAACTCTTAGCTGTATAATTAAATGTTGCATTTGTTATTTTTCTCTCATTAACAAAAAAATTCATGTTCACAATTACTTGTGTATGTCTGTTTCTCTCTATTTATCTAGTAGCATCTTCTCCTCAAGTAACCAATCAATGGCAATAACATCTTCTTCCATCTCCTTGCTCCACAAGGCCTTTGTTTATTCCCCCACCAAATTCTTTACCTATTCTCCCTAAATCTTCACAAATCTTCCTCCAAATCTCTCAACTGATTTCCTCGTTGAAGCCTTTGAGACCATTATTAGGAATGTGGCCTAACTTAACCCAAAAGCTAGCTCAAGAGTTAAGGATTGCCACATCCTTTATATATTACCCAAAGATCTTAATCCCAAGCAATGTGGGACATTCTAATAGGTCTCCTCGAGATGTGGGTGGGAAACGGTCCAACGGGAAACAGCCCAAGCCCAACATCTCGGAAATACAACAAGACATGCCACTTATATGGGCCACATAGGTGGGAAACCATTTGTGTGGGAATTTGCTTGTTGGGCCAACCTTGCTCTGATACCATATTAGGAATGTGGCCTAACTTAACCCTTAACTCGCTCAAGAGTTAAGGATTGCCACATCCTTTATATACTACCCAAAGATCTTAATCCCAAGCAATGTGGGACCTTCTAATAGGCCTCCTCGAGATGTGGGTGGGAAACGGTCCAACGGGAAACAGCCCAAGCCCAACATCTCGGAAATACAACAAGACATGCCACTTATATAGGCCACATAGGTGGGAAACCATTTGTGTGGGAATTTGCTTGTTGGGCCAACCTTGAGCTCTGATACCATATTAGGAATGTGGCCTAACTTAACCCAAAAGCTAGCTCAAGAGTTAAGGATTGCCACATCCTTTATATACTACCCAAAGATCTTAATCCCAAGCAATGTGGAACTTTCTAATAGGCCTCCTCGAGATGTGGGTGGGAAACGGTCCAACGGGAAACAGCCCAAGCCCAACATCTCGGAAATACAACAAGACATGCCATTATTAGGAATGTGGCCTAACTTAACCCAAAAGCTAGCTCAAGAGTTAAGGATTGCCACATCCTTTATATACTACCCAAAGATCTTAATCCCAAGCAATGTGGGACATTCTAATAACCATCTTTGCCTACCCAGGAAGCGCATTGATGGCATTCACCAAGCACTGAAACATTCCACAATCCGAGACTAACTGCAAGGCATTGAGCATTACATCGCCTAAACCGGTGACGTGGGATTTGCTCAATGCCTCCATCTTCTTGTTGAGGGAATGTGGAAGTGATTGAGCGCTTTGCGGATTGTGGAAGTGATTGAGCGTTTGATGTATGGCCATCGATGCGTTGTAGCTGGAGTGATTTAGTGCTTAGTTGTTGTATCCATAAAAGTTTATGGTAGATTACGTATTTAAAATATAAATGATGGATATGAATCCCTGGATCAGACATGTTGCTCACTTGCTCTTATTGAAATATTCTTTACTCTAAGTAAATATAAACAGAGACAAAATGCATAAAGATTCATGGTCATCGTTGGGATCAGAAACAGATTACACTGACAGTTTGATCAAAGAAGTAAGTTATACAGATAAAAACAATTCCTCTACATTATCGGCATCATCCTAACGCAAAGCGTTTCTCTTCTCTTATAACAATCCAGATAAAGATAGTGTGAATCTATCTGGTATAGAAAGGCAGTCGAAAGTTATTCGTTTACCTCTCAGCGACCAAATTCCCCATGAAACCACCGCTTATCTCATAATGGCAGGCACTTGAGAAGCCAGCTTCTAAAGCAAGAGTCTCTAGCTCTTCTCCTGCAAAAAGACATTTGACATTCCAATCAGCAAATCAAAACACGATATAGTATAAGCCCTTCAAAATTGGATGGAATTAACAACAGGTGAAAATGTCGCAAATCCGATCACGAATACAAATATCAGCTGTGCCGTGTACTGAAAAGGCATATATGCTATCAACAGAGAACGAACCTGTTAGGTACCCATTGATTGAATACTTCAGATATTCATACTCCTTTGCAAGACCATAAACAGTAGCCACAGGGACAACTACATTGTCAATCATCCAATCCTTACAAAACCAAAAACACCAACCCAAATGATTTCCTAAGAATACAATTAGCAAACTAAATGAAACCACACAGCACAGTCATAGTAAGAAACAAAAAGCACCTGCATAAACGTCGTAACAGATTGGTTGCTCTTATTGAAATCAAGTATGGACACCCTTGAACCTGAAAACCAACAAGAGAAATCAAATAAAACATAACACTAGAAAAAGCCTTGACTAAAAATCAAATATACAACAAAAAAACACAGACCTGGTTTCAAAACCCGATACATCTCCTTCATAGCTCGAAGTCTATCAACAACGTTTCTAAGACCATAACCCATCGTAATCGCATCGAATTCACAATCATCAAATGGCAAATCAATAGCATCACCTTCAATCCACCTAACAACACATTCATAAAATATCAGTTTTAACTCTTTCCCAAGAAACGTTACAACAAAAACAACAAGCAAGATTTTACCAGTGCTCACTCTATACACTTATAACAAGACCTTGCTTTAAGATTCTGTCTTGATGCTGCAACAGCTAATTGTTCAGATGAGAAATCCAAACCCAACACCTATAATGTATTACCAAGTTACTAAATCAAGAATCTCACAATTAAGCTAAGCCACATTTCAAGAACACAAACCTTGCCAGTTGAACCAACTTTCTCAGACAAAAGAAACGCTAAATCACCACTTCCACAACACAAATCAAGAACATTATCTCCTGTTTTTGCTCTATTTGTCACATCAAAACAACAAAAATCAGAAAATAGAGATAATCAAAACACAGAACATAGACTCTGATGTAATACTCTCACTCACCCGCTCCATGAGACAGTCATGTTCTTCCAAATTCGATGTTGGCCAAAGCTTAAGAGATCATTCAACTGCGAAAACATAGAAGAAGACGACGATTTGTCAGGGAAAGGTTAAAGATGAGGAGATAAGAAGAAGAAGGGATTGTTTTCAAACATTATCGTAAACTGGAGCAATGCGGTTGAAGAGAATCCGGCGTTCGTTTGAGCATTTGACTACCATTCTCCGTCGCGATCGGGAATTCGGCAAGAGCTTGCCGGTGAAGGTCACCGGAGAGACGATACCAAGTACTAGAGCCGCCATTTTTTGGCCGTCGATTAACGATCATGTTGTTTTGTTCCGCATACTCGGATTGGGTCAAAATCTGGTTTCAGTTTGCTAATGGGCCGATGGTGAATTATTTTGCTAGATAGGTAAAAAATTGGCTAAAATTAGCATAGCATACATGAAGGTAAAACTGTAAATAAAAGAATGTGTTTAATTTAGTGTGATTTACACAAATAACAAGATATTATGTAATTAGTTTTGATAGATTAATCTAACTTATCTACTAGTTCTATTTTTTTATTCATCGTTTTGATAATGAGAGGGTAAAAAGCTAAATTCTTTGAATGTCAAATCATGAGAGAACAAACATTAGGAAAGAGACCAAAGAAGTTATGTTTATTCACCGATAATAATAGTTACAAAGCATTTTGACTTGTTCCTTCTCCTACATGTGAGTGAGTGTAATATTCATTCATGTGTCGTCCCATGCTTCACTCTCTCTTTCTTTTTTTCTTCTTTGTCGGCAAAGCAAGGCAGAATTATACATGTCAAATACACCCATCTTTTTTTTTATCAACGTTAAATAAATACGGTAAATAAATTCATTCCTCGGTAAAGAATGATCCACTAGAATCATCCATCATAGCGAAAGGCATATTCTCGGATGGTTTCCAATGACGTTTCCTTTGGTTTATAAACCAATTGTTGATTTGTTTCTGGTCTAAGCCCGTTGCATCAGCTAAAGCTATCTTATCACCTTCCTGTGTAACACATCAACATATAAAAATATAAGTGTACTGGTTAGTTAGGTCGCGGATGATAAGTGTTGTTTTGCTTACAGTAGGGTAAGGCCACTTATAATGGAGATTCCACCAATCAAGAAGAGCTTGTCTTGCTTCTCTAGGTAGCTTTCCTTTCTTTTTCTTCTTTGAAAACTCCAGCTTTAAAGAACTTATACGGCTTCCAAATTTGCGTAGCAACCTATCCTTGAGATCACGGTCTTCGCATCTTTGTTTACCGTCTTCTGCTAACTCATGATCACCTCCACTCAGTTCCTCGTCAGATGATATTGCACCATCCTCTGTTACACAAATTAACAACTCAGTAACTTTCTAGGCCTCAAAAATTCAACATATGTCACATGCACGTAGAGAAAACAGTAAAGAGAATGGTTATAGCAAGTAAATGTAACATAAGTAGACTACTAAAGGATAATCACTATTCACACTACCATGAACATGTTTAAATGGGCTTTCTCGGCTAAAACGGCTAAAGAGAAGAGAGAGAGGGCAAAAAAAGGAAAGAAGAAAGAGTGGTAAGGGGGAGAGAATATCGAGGACGCACACGATTGAGTGCAGCAGTCAAAAAACCGCCGCAGTGAATAGTTACCTCCATTGTCATTTGTCAGGGAGAGGACTAATAAGTCTTGTCCCCATGAGGAGACATCCCCCTTTGGCCTACTCATTACCCAATCTCAATACGACACGTGTTAAATACCACATAGAGGTTGTGTGAACCCCCGGAAATAACGCTACACCTCATATTTATGTTCTCCACAACACCCCAAAACTCAAATTTCCTTTCAGTCTCTCTCTTTCTTTAATGAATTTGAACATTTATATATATGCCCCAACGACTCTACTGACCCACTTACCAAGCTTTTCTGACACCAAAACTCAACCCAAAGATGATTCAAGAACATTACCTGATTTTACAATAGTTTTGTCTATGTGGCAGAAACTATAGTCGGACCAAGCAACCGTGGTTAGTCCCAATTAAAAGATCTAGTCAGTCATGCAAAATAATGGACTACATACACAATGTTAAAAGAAAAAAAATGTTCAGTTTTAACATGTATAAAGAAAGTTAAATGATCCTACAATCTCTTAAATTAAATCCAAACATAACTAGAGAGATCAAACAGGCCATTATAAATTACGAAGATATCTTAAAATGCATAAAACATGAGCTGATCAATATTAGAGAGACCATTACGTTCACATAATATTGTATACACAATATACTACACGTAAGAGTCGTTAGGTTAATAGTTTACTGGCAAAACACGATAGTTAGTATGTGGTTGAGATAATATTATTACAATTTCAGCAATGCATTGACTGCTTGGAAAATAGGGTTGACTGAAGAAGGTAACATGCAAGTAGACACGTGCAAGTAGCGTGCCGCAGAGAGACATAATACGACCCACCAAGGGAACAACGCAACCAGAGGGCATGGCAAAAGAGTTGAGAAAGATAGAGAAGAAGCATAGTCACAGTCTCTTATAGATGATTTGATTGTGGTGTGTAGAGAACCCTATGTCTTTCTTTTTTTTTTCTCTTTTTTAAACCAAATCACAAATAAAATCTTCGGAGAGAAAGTTGGTGGGGTCATTAGCGGAATCCGCGGGAGTCCATGTGACTTTTCTACTTTTACTTTATAACAAAAACCAAAAGAACCTCTAATTCAAGCTTATCATGCACTATGTTCCTATTCTTCCCATTGCAATATTCTTATCTTCTAGATCAAATATGCAAACATGAAACATTGATGAGATTGCATGCAACAAGACAAATGTTGACTAAAAAAAGTCAATTAAGAGACCATCCTCTCTCAGTAGCAAGATGACCAAGCATTAGAAGAAAAGAATGTGTATGTAGCTTTTCAGCAAGTCCAAAGAAGGGCGTTCGCTAAATTTGCATTACCGTATCACAACAATCAAGAATTGGGAAATCAAAAATCTATATGATCACTTTAGTGGAAGAACCCAAAGCATGTGATTGAACTGAGAAATTAGTAGATAACATCACATCCCATGTGAATCTTGTCTAACAATTGTAAGCTTCTTTTTCTTTATTAGTTTATGATTGTATTCAGGTGAAAGAAAAAGATGGTTATATAAAGCTCACACCCAATAAAAAAAAAAAACCCAGATGAGATCATTCAAAAAGCAAGTTGTACTTCGAACAAATTTTAAAATAATTAATCACAAACATTCGTCCATTATGGACAACTTGCAGTGATCTATTACCTTTTCCAGTTGATTCTCTATGCTAACTCTCGATTAGTTAATAACATATAAGCTGATGTGTTTTCATATCTCAGCAGCATTTTTTCCTCAATAAACAATATTACCAAAGTATAAGTGGAAGCTGCATTTGAGATCTACCACGATAATGGAAAAACCCTGCAAAGCTGAAAAAAGTCCAACAATCTATGGAGTTACATTTCTTTACAGCTAACTCTTTCAGGTGGAGTTTTTCTTTCTATTTTAAATTAAAAAAATTTCCCAAGGCATTACAATGTTTTTGCTAGTTTTAGAACCATCCATGTGTGGTCTAAAGAGATAATATCAGCAAATCCACAAAGAAAGGCCACAAAGAAAGGCACTTCTTTGAAGCATTTCATTCATGTATAAGCATAAAACCTAGACCCTCTAAACACCATGAGTCAGTTTTGGTTTATTACTCACATGTATGTCCAACAAGACTCCAACAAGGACATGCAGATAAGAGTAGCCACTTGGCAATGTTACTATTTCCGATGATCAACCAAAATCTCCTTACTTTTGTTCTCAAACCGTTGGAACTTGAAATAGACCAAAGTTAAGTTCTTCATAATAAATGTCGTATTCAGGATTCAACAGAGAATGTCGTTTTGTAGACTTCTAAAATATAATTTCAGTCATATCTTTATTATTTTAATCTACTAATTAGATGGATAATATTGTATGGTACATATTATTAAGACATGTATAATAGAATTTTTACTACTAAAAATCTTTAAGCATACGTAGAAATTATAATGAAAACTTACTTTTTCTATTATGAGATCTCCAGTATCCATGAATAAGCTTAAAAAGGTGTTTTTAATTGCTAATATAACTTGTTTGGCTTATTGGTTAAAAAATCATCTCACCAAGAGAAGTTGGAGTCCTAGAAAAGCTGGTAATCCCAATAAGTAAACAATGTAAAGAAGAGGGAAGCGACTTACAATCGTTAAACGAGAAGTGAAGTAAAATAAGATCATGAAAATCAACTACACTTATTGTTAAAAAGTTATGACTAGGTTTTTCTGTCAATTGGGTTTCACTGGAAAAAAGCAACAAGTTGAAAAAACATTCAGTACGCAACAAGCCTCTGAAACGTCAAAATCAGAATCTCTACCGCAAAAGTTTATTGCTTTCTACACCATTTTCTTTCTGACAGAGAAAGAAGGGAAAAAGATATAAAGTAAAAATGTATGATTAGCACAAAGATCAAATACAAGAAGAAGAGGAAATCCCCACCCCACTCCAACACCCTAATCCCATGGCTAAAACATTAAATGAATGAGTAAAATAATTGCACAACACCTTAAACAGACCTTTGTCTCCTGAGTTTCAACGTGCCCAAAAAAAAAACCAGCCACAAAACAAAACCCATCAAGGTCCCGAAAAAGTAGCTATGGAAACGAAAGTTGTGGCTCAGTCACCAAACCTAGGGTTTATCTTTTTGTCTATTTTGCTTCTGATCACTTAAAAAACCTAGGGTTATTTTATCAATAAGCAACCAATCATTTTTCAAAAACTGGTCATATGAATCAAAAACCTATGGAAAGATCGAGGAAGGCATAATATTTAAGTAAAAACAACACAAAAGATCAAAAACATCACTCAGAGACTAACCACCAAATTGAACCACTAAACCAGAGAGGGTTAATTTAAGACATACCAGAAACTCCTCTGGCAGACTCGACACCAGTACATAGGTTCCGTAGCTGCATCTCAATCTTGTTCAAGAAACACGTAGCCTCGTCAAACGGTCTTGCTAGATCCGATTTGTATTTCACCAATATATCGCAGTACGTTTCCTGAAAGTAAAAACTATCTTCTTAAGTAAAAAAACTAAAAATAATAAAAAAAATCCGAACAAAAATCGGAAAAAAAAAAAAGAGAAGAGAAGGAGACCATAAATTCATCAAGCTCAGGATCAGCTCCAAAGCAATACGAAGGAACAACTTCTTGCTTATACACATCACTCTCCCGTTGAATCTCCTCCAGCAAACACGCTATCTCCGGTGGTGCTCCGACCTGTTTTTCAAATTATGAAATTGTTAAAACTTAAAACCATAAAATTATAAAAACAAATCAATACCGTTTATACAGTTTTTTCAAAGCTTCTCAATCTTATCTTTATCCTTAAAAAGTGAAACCTAGATTTTTCTAAGTGATAACAAAACAAAGTGAACGATCACCTTTTGGCAATCGATGTAGGCCTGAAGTAAGCGAGGATACGAAGGATGACAAGCGATTTTGGTCTTGATGACACTTAAAGAAACGTTATCATCATTTCTTCGGATCTCTGGAGCGATAGAAGCCGCCTCCGAAGATAAAGCGGAGGCGGCTGCTGAGAGTAGCTCGTCGGATCCGAAAACATCAGAGACATGATTTTCACCGGCGGAGGAACATAGTAAAGCTTGGTAATCAGAAGGAAACATGAGACTCTCCGGTGACATCATCAGAACCGACTTATCTGAATAATCACCGGCCGAATGGAAATTGTACATTCCATCCATTAGTATAAGATCTCCGGTGCGAACTCCTCCGTCTTCTAAATCGTCTTCTTGAATTGTCTTCTGAAAAATCAAGAATCGATGAAGAAAAATAATATGAAACCGCCTGTTTAACAAACTTTTGGGTTCTTCATATATTATTTATTTCTATGGGAGTGTGTAGAGAGAGAGAGAGGGGCTCAAGGGATCTTATTTTATTTTCTTTTGGCAAAAAAAAAAAAAAGGATATAAAAGTTAATGGAGAAGAAAAAAGAAAACGATAATTACGAAAAAGGACATATGCTAAAAGGCCTTTTTCAGGCTTTCATAAGGCCTTCATAAACAAAGGTCCAAGGCTGTGTGTTATGCCAGAATTTGCATATCATGAGGTTTTTTTAATATCAAAGAAATATGGCGACAAACAAATTATATTATTGAAAATGAAATGGAAGAATGTGTTTTTTACTGTCTTTTTAATCATTCTTGGTAATTTATCAGCATACAATCTCAAATTATTTGAACTCTTTTTTCTCATCGACAATAAATTTTAGATAATAACATAGCTACTAGTACATTTTTTTTTTTTTAAACAGGCTACTAGTACATATAACCACTAAACTACACCCAAATATTCGAAAGCTGTGTAATTTCTTTTGACTGAAAATAGATTTGATGTATTAGATCTAACAGTGGCGGAGGTAGCCATGACTTTTACAGGGGTCATTTTTTATGCTAACACTAAATATCCATTTTTTTACAAAATTTTGTAGGGGTCAATAAGTACATTTTAATGAATTTTGCTTCTACAACTACAAGTAAAATAACAATTTCTACAAGTTCATATATAGGGGTCAATTGACCCCCATGTGGACAATATAGCTATGCCCCTGAGATCTAATGATCTATAAAACAAACTGAGTATGTAACATAGTGATTTGTATTAGTATGGTTACCGTATCATTGAGAATCAAATATGATAATATGCATGTGTGAGTTGTAGACGACAAAAAATAAAAATAAAAAATCTCCAGTGTATATATATATTCTCAATGAAGTCTATAGAAATCACTTTTTAATTATAATTCTGTTCACCCACATTTTTACTTAGTTATAAGTAATTTTTATCTGAATAACTAGCTGTGAAGACTAACATATCTTTATACAAAAATATACATAATATCTTTTGATTTATATGCTTTTTTCTTGATTAAAAACCAATTTTGTTATACTTCTAAGAGATTTGGTCATGTACTTTTGCGATAGTCGTCAACTCGTCATAATGATTTTCCAAAATTATTATTCATTAGATGAAAACATCATGATCGGGACTACTGTTTAATATAATCTGTTGTTCCATTATTTTGAACTTTGGTTTCAAATTAAAATTTCATCATTCAAAAATATTTACGTAAATATATACTATCAATGGAATATCATGCTCTTTTTAATATCTTGGAAAATCATATTCTATATATTCATCTCATTGAAACCAAACTCAAAATCTCGCCTACTCTTCTTTTTTTTCGACAAAAAAATCTCGCCTATTCTATCATCCTACTTATCAAAAGTGTTTAAATATATATTCATGAATGTTACATTTTGTACTCGTGATTTATCATCGTATCAGAATAATGTTCCATGTAAATTTTTATTTTTATGTTTCATCTGAATTTTTTTGGTTAAGAACGATAGGTACCTAAATACCTAATATGTTAACTACTGCATGTAACTTGTAAACTTATAATAGTTCATCTTTCCCGTGAAGAAAATCTGAGCAAAATGGAAAAACTATTAAATGAACTACTATCATATCACTTAAATTTAATGTTGAAAATGTTGGACAAAATAATTTGATATAGGTTTTTACCGTAAATTCAATTTTCACCTCTTTAGGGTCTAAACCATCTCTAAAGGATTTTTAGACATCATGTAAACATACATACACCTATGTATATCGTTTATTTGATTGCAAATAGTGAAACAAGGGTAAATATTGCCACACCCCTGAGTAGTCTAAATATATATGATGATGATATGAAATATTGATGAATGGTTGATATCAAATGTGAAGAACGTATATATGAAAATTTCACCATCTCCGATGTTGGACATTTCGATTGTACGGAACAAAAGGGGTTTCGAGAAGAGACGGTCCGTTCCTATATAAGAGAACTAGACCCTATAAAAAATCGTTCGTCTTTTGTTGTAATTAAGATTAAAATAGTATCTAGTATCAAGTATCAACTAGTGTTTACTTTAGAATAGTTAATTTCTGTGTAAAGCAAGTTTGTGGATAAAACCAAGACTAATATAAACGGTGGCCTAGGCGTAGGAGCTGCAAAATCAGTGGTCAGACTCTTAGCTGATATAAATCTTTCGATGATATATTGATATCACTAGATTGATGGATGTGGTTAATGATAATCATGCCATTGATGATGATGATATACACGATGACTTTAGCTTATGAAAGTGAACCATGTAAATTATTAACAAAAATAGACATAAGCAATTTGGGATATATTTTTTAAGTTTGAAATTGGCCGTAATTATTATCAAAAAAAAAAAAAAAAAAAAAAATTGGCCGTAGTTTAAGAGGGTATCAAGAAAAAAACGAGCACTTTAACCAAAAAGCGAAAAAAAACGAGAGCATCTATAATATATTTCGAATATAATGGAACCATTCTTTTAGTTTTGTCGACAGCTTTTTAAGTCTAGCATATAATTTTCAATTAGGAAAGTGGCATGTTCTATACTTCTATCATACTACTTTTAATATAAACTCTGTTTTTGTTTTCAATTTTTTTTTTCCAAAAGACTAGAGAAAGTCATTTTCATTTTAAAGGTAGTTGCAAACTATTGGTTACTTTAAATCACCTAACATATCATAATTAATCAAAGGAAATTACCTTAAATAATGGAGGTTTGAAAATTAGATAAAAAATGAAGTCATAACAGCGTATGCAAAAAAAAAAAAAAAAGAGTTCACAAACGATTTTTGCCTTATGTGACGTGTTATTGGCAAAAATCCGACGTATAATTTAACGAGGAATCGAGGATTTTATTAAAACGTGTGAACAGTGAACATATTGTATGTATATATATATATATATATATATAAAGTAACATATTCTTTGTTCATTTATGCATATAATTGGTGAAAAAACTCAATTTAATAAAAAGTTCCGGAAAACACACATAAAAATGTCCAATATGAGGTAAAAATAAAATAAAAGCAGAGATGTTTTCTTTCTCTGGTTATCACTTGGATGCTGCATGTTGATGCTGCGGTGTTTTATTAGAGTTCTTTCTTATACTTGCTTTGTTCACATAGCTATGTTTCTTCTATTAATTTCCCATCATCATATTTAGGCTTTGTGATTTGATAGATTCTTTTCATTTTTCTGTACCTATCTCCCTACCTATCTATATAATTGCAATAATTATTACCAAATAATGCAAGACGACATAAATGTATGTAACCCAATTATAAAGTTCGTCTATTTCTACGGACTACACATGCAGCAAGTACTGAATTTATAATTCGGTTCGTAGTCCATTCTAATTGTGACCATGCAGCAAATATGAATTATTTAGGAAATTTACTAAGCCTCTCAACTATTTCTTTAAATAATCAGGGAATTTATACCAACGAATCTCCAATTTTATTAGAATTTTTGTTTAGCCACTTGCCACTAGATCATAAATTAGTTAGTTTCATTTCATCCAATTCATTGCCACAACCAAAAAAAACAAATACATAAATGTTCTGCCAATTCACTGTCTTAACAAAATATTTTAGTATTTCCTATTTTTTCCTATAAATTAATTTTTGTTCTATAAAATATTTGTAGAACAACTTAAGAAAAATATTAGAACATCATTTGGTAACATTACATTTTCTCGGTAACCTTACATATACGATTAAACTATCAGTTCTTACGGTTGTATGCCCTTCATAAATAATTTTATAGAGAAAACAATAGATTTAAGAATAGAATATTACAGTTGAGCTCAATAGCATTATTATAGGTAGTCTCTTAAGAAAAATTTAAAATTATGTTAGCATTTAATTGATTATATTTATTCCTAAAAGTGTCTTTAAGCTAAAAAGTGTTTCTTAGCTAAGGAAAAAAAAAAATGTTAAGAGATGAAACAAAAAAAATATTACTTAAATATTCTTAAGAAATATTATTAAGAGCCCTTGGATAATAGTTTCCATAATGTAAATCATTGACAGAAAAAACAAATAACTGGATTTATAGACCCGTATATTTTATCGAATGTCTTTCTTTATTTTCTCCGCACAAAAAAAAAAATGTTAAATTTTCTCCGCACAAAAAAAAAAAGTGTTAAAGGGTCTTTTCGTTGATGGACAGGTTGATTGACCCATCCATTTTTGGGCCATGATTGTTCGGAAATTATCTGACACAAAGCTACGGTTTCTTATGAATCCATATAAAAAACAAGCACAGCTTTGGTCCCTCCATCCCATTCCCTTGGATCTCGACCGTTGATCCTCACCCAAATTTTATAAATGTTAGATCATTAATAAGATGGTCGAGACAACTCTTATGTTAAGAGACATGTCTAATAACTCTTATATTAAATACTTATTAGTTATTAGACATGTCTCTTAACATAAAAGTTGTCTTAAAATATTATCAATAATGTTGCTTTTAAAATTACTACCCATACCATCAGCTTGAACTACTTGTTAACACTTTAATATTTGAAGTGATACTTATATCTGGTCATATTATTGTACCAATGGTTCTATTTATAAATAGCCGACTAGTCAAGTGTTTTACATCAAATAAAAGAGTAATTTACTAATTTAGGTTGGTGTGTATGTATGTATGTAGGTAGTTTAAGCTGTTATTTTTAGAATTTTAATATTTATGTGGGTATTGTTATTCAATTTTTTGAGCTGACGATTTCGGTTATCTCCTCTTTTTTTTTTTTGGGTTAAAATCTCCGTTTATCTTTAGACCTAATGACATACCATGTTTATATTCAAATATGATATTTTTTTTTTTCGTCATTCAAATATGATAACATTAGTCGATTCATGCATTATTAAAAACCCTGGATATCTTAGTTTTGGAATGTGATGCATAACAAATAATTGATATGATTCGATCAATGTTTGTAAGATATATAATTGATATGATTCGAGCAATGGTTTTATATGCCTATTCCTAACTAATAAGAATCTGTTTTTTTTTTTTTTTTTTTTTTTATAAAACTATAAGAATCATTTGAAAATCTTTCTGTGTAAAAGTTCAGAATCAGTGTTAATATCATATAGGGAAATTGCAGGTTTATTTGGAAGAATTATATATTACCACTTGATCAACATGATTGAGCATAACAGATTAATAATTGATATCATTTATGTACAAAAAAAACCTCACATTCAACAAAGTTAAATGTGAACGTACCTGCTATTATAGGAAGGGGACGAAGTAACCCAGAATAGACTATATCTGTGGACTACGATGGACCGAAAAAATTCTGGATTAGAAATCTGATTAGAGCACCAAATATCTCGGTCTTTGTTGTTGCTAATCAAGCCTTATATGTACTGATATATACACCATCACCTCTTGATGGAAGTAAGCCAAATTTTGTATTCTAACTATATTTAAATAGATTTCCAGTTTTCAACCAAATTATAAAATATCAACTTTAGCCAATCCAAACGTGACAAGAACAAAACCAATCCAAATGCGGTACGTGGACAGAGTCTGACCAACAATCTGTATATATATTTGTGTGTGGTTTCATTAGCTGTAAAAGATAAATAAGTACTCTAGTATGTAATGAATGACTAATGACATATCTTTTCATGGAATATATGGGGGAATAAATCTAGTGAAATGCAGCTTAAGTAGCACGAACCATAGTGTTATGCGTATTGAGTTATTAACCATATGCACTATGTACGAAATTATCAAATTATTCCCGTGATGAATATGTACGAAGTTACAAAGAATTGATCTAGTTTAGTATTAAATATTAATGATTCAGTGTAACACCAAACGATAATAATAAGAAAATTCTATGAAAATTCGACAGGTCTAAATTAGATTGGATCAGCCAACTACTTCTAAGATATTTATAATTGTATTTCTTCAAGATTTGAAGTTTGATGTAAAATGTTCAATAATATTAAGTCGAGATCAGGTCTAAATGGTAGAGCATATAAACAAATGAAGATACAAAAGGAAATCTTCTTTTTAATAAAAAATAAATAAAGGAAAGTTTAGAATATCTAGCAAACTAACAAATGACAAAGGTGTTTTTAATTATATAATAAAAAAATGCATCAGCACTGTTCTAGTGTTATGCCCACTGCGGTCGGAGAATATATGCGTCCCATATTTTTTTAGTCAGAATTGGCTTTTCACTTTACTATTGTACGTCCATAATCACTATTACTATAATAATCGAGTTTTAGCTGATGTATACTACTATACTACTAATATTTTTTTCTTTCAGACGAAAAAGCCACGTGCATGTTTGTGTATAAAGTATAAACCCCAAAAATCTGGTGATGTTGTGGGCATGCATTGAAACAGAAAGAAGATCGAAACATCATCGTCATGATCATATGATGCAAAGTGTTAAATGGTTGTTGAGTTAATATATTCTCTTTTATTGGAAGTGGTCCTTAGGTTTTTGTGTCTGTGGTCCATCAAAATGATTTACAAACTTTGTCTTTAATTTTGTTACATAATCTTTAAAATGTATCGAAAGTTAACTAATTAAGGTTTCGATCCAACAGAAACAAGAAAGTTGTCTTTGAATCATTCCTTCACATTATTTCTTTCTTTCCTTGTGGTCCTTCTTGCTTTACCAAAATGAAACAAAGAAAAAGAGGACGTTAAGAGAAAGATAGAAGAGAAACAAAACCGGCCAACAATTTTTTTTGAAGAGGAAGACTCTCTTGCAGTTCATGTGGGCCTGACCCGGTGCTTCGACTTCGGCGATTCCCTTGTTGGTGCAAATTTTAGCATATAATTGAACATATCCTCAATTATCACAAAATAATTGAATTTCATCACTATATATATATATATATATATATATATATATATATATATGTGAAATTAATGAGTCTTTTCTTGATAAAATATCTGCTTTTAAACGTGGCCTAATTGTGATCGTGGTTTGTGAGCTCCCCGCTATGCAAAGTCAAATATTATTCTATTTTCTTGGTATAAAAGTTAGGTTTTTTTTTCATCTAGTTCATCATTTGTGAATCAAAAAGTTCCGTGCATATAAAAAATAAATATAAGTAATTAGTCAAACTCCAAATTAAGTGAATTAGTGTCATGTTAATCAACGTTGATTTGTCCCTTTTAAAAAAATGGTTACATTAGTGGAAGCTAATTAAATAGCCAAAATCACTTTCCAAATGGCGACGGGCGAGTGCTCTATCTTTGACTTATCAAGACCACCATTATTTTTCTGAGTTCCGATAATAATGGCATCCATAATTTCTCAGTTTCATTAATATGCTTTCAACTAAACCCTAATATATAACATCCGACTAATTAATTAAAAAAATTGATTAATTTGTACCAAAATGAGATAACCGGTAGTATTTTTTTTTTATTTTTTTTAATGTAAGTATTTTCTTTCATTATGTCATAAATATATATTTTCAAATAATCTTGAAAAACAGTTTATGGCCTCTTATTGTTGAAAGCTGATTCACAACCATTTCTAATCTAATTATCCTAATCAAACTAGCTCTAGGTTTCAAAAATAACCTCTTCCGCGTATATTTTGAACCATTTTTAACTGAACATTCATTGTCTAGAACCTATAGTTTTTTATTTTTATTTTTTATTTTTTATTTTTTATTTTTTTTGAACCTATAGTTGTACGTACATCAAGCCAAGCATCATATTTTCTTCATCAAATTGACCAAACGACTGGAAATGCCTTACAAGTTACAACTTCGATGTGTGATGGAAATTCACAACAAAATAAAAGCATTTGATTAGATATATCATATATATATATATATATATATATATATATATATATATTTGTTTAAAAGTGTCAAAGAATAATGGGCCCGTATCAGCCCATATAACCTACTTTTTATAATGTCAAAACCGAAAGCATACGAAAATATTCCATTTTCCATTTTCGACAAAGATATCATTCTTTTTCTTATCTGAATAAAATGTGGTTTTCTTGGAGATTAAATTCGAGAAAAAGAGTAGTTTAAAAACATTCCAGTGAACATGATGCTATCTTTCATGTCTTTTATAAGCAAGAAATATAATTAACTACTTAATCAATTAATTAATTATGTTGTATCGAATTTAAATTGGATTGCGAGGATCTTTGCCTCACTCCCTCTCTGGTTTTGTAAGGAAATAATTAATTTAGTAACCCGACAAACATTTGTACGCATTACAAAATATTCATTATATCTTACGAAGAATATAACAATTCGACTTTTGACTCTTCCACTGCCACGGATAGGTAATAGGTTCTGTTATAAGTTTATACTTTATAGTAATAACGTAAGAAGAAAGATATTTCCACATGCTTGTTTTCAAGACACCTCATGTAATCGTTTAAAGTCCAAACCACAAATGATTGTGCTGGTATACATTTGCTCGTTTATACTATCATTTATCTAAATATTTTTTCAAATACAACTATAAATTTATTAAGATATATGATAACTGACCTAATTTTAGGTGTTTGGATGAGATTTAAAGAAAAACATATACACAGTGTAAAGAAAAACAAAGAAGGTGCATGAAGTTTCTTTCTTTTTGAAGGTGTAGCTCCTTTCTGGCCATTTAACCAATCCACTTTATTTTTTTGGTGCAAACCAATCCATTCTAAATTCCAATCAATAATGGGTTAACATATGAAATATCTGATGGGCCAAATTTGTGGGCCTGTTTAAGGGTAGTAGTATAGTGATCCGTATTGTCATAATAACTGTTTCGTGTAACGAGTAATGTAGCAATGCTTTTGAAAGCTAAGTTAGTAAGTTTATCGTCATAAAGACTAGCTACATTCCTAAAATTATTAACTGAATAACAAAAGATTTTTCATAACAATTTAAATCTTAAAAGTCAAAATCACAAACCAATAACACCCCCTAAAAATGTATCATATAATTCATTGATTGGTTTTTTGACGTGCCCCACTTATTTCCAACAAAAAGAAAAATTGTCTTAATGTTAGTATATACTTAATAATTGAATTAACATCGACATTGTCATCATGATTCAACACCTAATTGAATTCAAAGTTTAGCCGTTGCCTAGAGCTTTCACAATGTATTATTTGAAGTTTTGGATATAAGTAGTAAAATAAAATCTTACTCTCGTACCCATGATAATCGAATGGCATTGAAGTAAGTTATGTTGGAGTCAAGTTCTTTAAATTTCAACGTCAAAACACTTTAAGGCGAAATTGCTATTTATAGACAACAAAGAGAGAGAGACAAACACTCCCTCCCCATTTATGTATGTATCAAACTGAAAAGCTAATAGGCTGATTCCCAAATAGGGAGCTTGAGCTTCCTCGGAAGCTTCTAGGTGGACCAGAGGGTTTGGCTCTCCCTACTCCCTAGCCACCACCAACCAAGAAAGTTAATGTTCACTTGATGCGCTTAATCGAATAAACCAATGTAGTAAGCCAGCGGGGTTAAACCGGCAAGTCATGGAACAGCGGAAGGGCTCGATTCTTTTTCGAGCCTGCCAAAATGTTTTATCTTACTATTGGCTACCTCTCTCTACTCTCTAGGGTTTTTTCCATTAATATCCGTTTTCATATTTGCTCTCCGATGAATCTTATTGTGGATTCAGTTTATTTGTGTTTGTTTATGCAATCCCAAAGATTTACATAATACCTAAAAGTTAATTGGTATTGTCTGTAAGAAACTGTAAAGAATAAAGTTGATATATTAGGTGTTAATGTGCAAAATAGCTCAAATTCTCTTTGTCAAAGTTGTTGATGACCAATAGGGATTTTTCAACTAAATCATATGAAGTGGTCCAATTGGATTTACCAAATGTAAGAAACTTTTACTATAAGTGTTTCTGTAATGTGAATGCTTATCTCTCAAAAAACAAAATAACTTATGCAGTAATAATAATAACTAGAGTACAAGATGTGACTAGAAACTTTGAATTTAACGGACACGATTACATTCAATATTTTGACGTTGAGAAACTCAAATGATTCCTAAACGCAAGTTTCAAATCGCTAAAACCAAAGTTTGAACACGCAACGATAACTCTCTCTCCCGCGTGACTTTTATTAATCCAAGTAGCGTCTGCGTTTGGCAAAGTCCTCCACTTACAAAGCTTTCCTCCATCAATCTCCGCCGCCACTATATCTCCGCCGTTCTCCGCCGCATCGTGTATATAAACCATATCTCCCACCGCGTTAAACGCTATCGAGGTTAACGGCCAATCAGAATCAGTTCCTCTGAGCTTATCCAAACACGTCTTAGGCATAGATCCAATCGATTCGAATTTCAAATTCATCGGCGATTCGTCGGAGACTATAACTTCCCATAGTTCGATTCCCGTCGGATTATCCTCGTCTCCGATGATCGCAGCCATGATTAGACGGTTACGGGCGAATCCGATGGAACGTGAGTATAAACTATACTCGCCGGGACAAAGATCGAGAAGCTTCGTCCACGATCTAGTTTCTGGATCGAAGCTACACGTAACGCCTGATCTCTTCTCCGTCAAGTACATCTTCTCCGAACTCGCCGCGATGGAAAGCCACGTGGCGGACGCGGATTCGTAGAGAAAATCCGGCAACGATTCGCATCTCTCCCACTCGCCGTCGCCGGATTCGACATCCAGCAACTCAACGGCGAATCTATCCTCCTCGAAATCGCACACGCCACCGGCAACGATCAGGTTCCGTCCAACGACGGCGACAATTGGATCGATCCTCCACACTCTCGGTGCTGCCACGTGTTGCCAAGTCAGATGAAACGCGTCGATTGAGAAAGAGAATCTCGCCGGAGATAAAGCGTAGAGCAACGCGGAGTGAGAAGATCGAGCAACGGAGACGTGTTCGACGGGAGATGATGATTCGTTTTTGATCTCGATCCATTCACCCGACTTCGGATCATAAGCCACCGCCATCGCCGGCATGGTGTACGGCGGAGAATTTCTCTGATTGTAAACGAACAACCACGGCATGGTTTTAAGGCGGCGGAGGGAGAAGAAGACGGCGCGGTTCCATGATTTGGAGACTTGGCAAGCGGAATCGAGGTCGAGGAGTGGTAAATGGGAGAGTATTGATTCGAGTATGTCTCCGTCAATGGAAACTTCTTCTCCTCCATTCTCCATTTTTTGGAACGACTTTTGGATAATGCAGAAGTGTAAAGGAGGGAAAAGTCTTTATATAGAGACGAGAATTAAAATCCACGGAATATTAATAAAGGCCATGTAATTTCTGATAATTATAAGCTAATTGATTACACAATCATTCATAAAAAAAGAAATACCAGGAAAAAAACTCCAAGATTATGAATCCCCTTAAGTTTAAACTCAAAGATTCTTTCACACTATGGACTGAAACTTGAGTAAAAAAAAAATTCATATAATATACACTAATAATACACACATAACATCAAACCGTGTATATATTATATCTTATCTAAACGACACGAGTTATCTTATTCTTATCTATCCACCAACTCAAATCATTAATGCACATTGACCAACGTACAGCTAGTTATGATGAATGAACTTTGTGTCATGGTACCAATGAATCATCGAGCAGAACGATGACCTTAGTTCATAGTGGAGCCAAATCTTGATAACCATAGCTAAGTTCATGCTCACAAGAAGTTCCAAATAATGGTAATCTGCGGATATTAGAAACAGTTTTAATGCTTGATGATTATGTAATGTAGATTTTCTTATGTTGGTTTTAATGTTAAGTATGTAATAATAATATATACTTGTTTCTGGGTCTCATCTTCTGTATCATATCCGAAGGAATAAATGCATTAAAAAGTACAACCTGAAGAACAAATGTCAAGCCTGGACCATTTGCAACCTCCCAAGGACCATATCCTAACTACTCTTACTGTATATCTGTGGCTCCAATTCTCTATTTAACGTACAGATAAGGAGATATCAATAATAATGAGCATAACACCACAAATGACTTGAGATATATATGCAAAAAAGACAAAAAAAAAAAAACAGGAAAAGAATATTTGATTAGACCAATAACCTACTCATAACCTACTACTACATGATAAGGCTTGAGAATTGAGATGTGCGATGAGATTTTCAACATAAACACCACTCTCTAAATCTTAATGTGAGAAAGGACATGTACTCCTGCAAGATTATAAGAAATTAAGAATTACCTGCAAATTTGTTGATGACAGTTCAAGATGATATGTGATCTATCCGTAAATTTTCTCACGTTCTAATCCGTTTATCTTAAGGGTATGCGTCAACATTTGATTGAAGGAATGCGTGATCTATAAGCATTTTCTTATGGGTTTTTAGTATGTTTACAACATTTACACCAAACAATTACAGTAACACTTTTGGCTCTATTTTAGTCTCTCCCTCAGCTTCCTAACTATCTTGTCAACGGGCAAAGTTCCCACTGGACCAACCGGATCTAGCGATTCATCATCGGAACACTCGTCATCAAAGTCATCGTCTATGTCACTATACTCTTCGGACCGGTCCTTGTCATCAACGTAATCCTCTGCTGCACCATCAGTATTTGACAAGACCATAGCTGTGTAACTGTGTTCTGCAGCCAGTGAAGTGCCTTCTAACTCTTCCACCTTCTTCAATAGATCGTCCGGACCAAGGTCAAGCTCTTCAAGAATCACCGCCTTGGACGATTCCAATGCTCGTTTCCAGAGCGAGATCATTTTGGGGCTTGAGATCGTTGAACTTGGATCAGACACAGTTTGTTCGTCACTGGGTTTGTCTGAAAAGAAAAGAACAGATAAAAGGTATATGAGAAGCATTTTTTGAGTATTATTAGCTTTGGACAGTGGTTGTTGTTATCTTCAGATAGTTAATTAGAGGTTTCTGAGTATGCAAGAGTTATAATACCTGAGGGATCAAGTTCGTTTGCTATGTTGGTTTCAGAAAGGCTTGGAATTAAAGGATTGTCTACAAACCGCGACTTCCAATCTCGTCCTCTCCACATGAGTATTTGCTCATCATCGAAAGACAGAAGCACACATGGAACTAACTCCTGCAAAAAGATAAGAAATGAAGAGAAAGCTTTTCAGATATATAGAGAAATGTTGGATGATGAAACCTTGAAACTGAATATGAACACCAAATGAGAGAGAGAACATGAATCCAAGTTTAATGTAGAAAAATACTCTGATAGGAACTTATTATAAGAAACCAGAGTGAAATTAATCAGCATGGAAAATGGAGAGTATTAAGAGGAACTTTTGTCTTCCTAACAAGCAACGCTCGAAGCAAATTAACTCTAGAACTTCTAAGCCAAGTGAAAAGGATTATCAGTAAAATGCTGCGAATTTCAAGATTTGAGATTGACCTCAGGTGATTGAAATGAAGATACAAAAAATAAAGAAACCTGGAGGATTCATAGACCTTAAGTTTAGCGCCTATTTTCTTATAATCACTTGGTTCAAGTCCTGGGCAGTCGACTTTCACCAAGGGACTCAGTTCAAAGGCATCCCTAACATCCTTGACTAGCGATACGTAGACTCCATTTTTAGCTGCAATGCAAAACCAAGACAATTATAGTAAGTAACGCCGAAACTAACAAAACACGAAAAAAAACAGAACTAAAGCAAAGATAAGATACACTTACACAACTTGCATATAGGCCTAAGAGACTTGCCCTTCACCCTGAACTCAAGAGCTTCCTCTTTGGTCAATCCTTCAGGAACTTCTTGAATGAGCTTTGGATAAACAGGAGCTGCTGGTTTCCACAACATCAACGGGTATTGCGGACGTGTGCGATAATTGTAATTTCTACCCCTGAAGAGGTACACCACACCTCCAACTCTGTGAATAATCTCTCCTCCTGTCTTTTCCTAGACAATAGCAAATGAAAGAGAGCAGAAAAAGAAAAAAACTGGAAGAGTCAACCATACTAATCCAACAGTTCGAAAGTAGATATCTTTTGTTACTCTCTCAAACCACAAAACATCTATCAAAAGAACCCTGTACAGGTTCTGATATTTCATTCAAGTCTCCTCTCTATCTCCACCTAAACAAAGTATCTAGTTCTATTAAAACCAAGAAACTAGTGGTTACTGAACAAACTACATCAAGAATCCAAACAAATACCTCAAGAACACGACACACGTTATCCATATCCACAGTAGGAACTCCTTTACATCGAACTTTACAAACACGTCGTCTCTTCCAATGCGAATGTATCAATTCCAACATATTATGTGTAAATCCATCTCTTCCTATAAACACACATTATCAAATCCAATAAGTGAAAATTCCAAACCAAAAACTCCTAAAAATTCAAAACGTGAAGACAACAACAACACTCACCTAAATTAACCTGACGATTATCATGCATATGAGGCTTAATCAACATTCCTTTCTCCCATTTCTTCAATGGCTCTCCTAAAATCTCTTCTCTATTCATTCCTTCCTTTGGATACCTCCCAAACGGCAACGGCCCAGGCATTTCCACATACTTAACCCCAGATTTTCCCGCCGGCGGTGGATTAAAGGAATCAAACAACGGAATCTTCTTCTTTGATTTCTTCAACGGTGCTTTCCCTGTCCACGGTCTCGGCATCGTCGGTGGCGCAAACGGCATAAACGCCGGTTCACGAATCCCAACCGGTTTAGCTTTCGGTGTCTCAGAGTAACTGAACTGAAACTCGAACGGCGCACCGGGAAGCTGGTACGAGACACCGGATTCGCCAATTACGATTGTGCGGTCGCCGTCTGAAGAGATAACTCCTTCCTTAACCGGTTTGTAGTATCTGGTTCGGTGATGCGGAAGCTTTAAAGCTGGATTTGATTGTGGTTTCTTCGTCTGTGTATCGGTTTGAATTTGATGATTAGTTTTCCGATTACGATTTCTAGTGGATGGTGCGTATTTGGGAATTGGTATCGGCGGAGCTGGCCGGAAAGTTCCTGATGATGAATCCGCCATTGGAGGTGTTGAAGGAAGTGAAGAGAAGAGATTAATGTCTCGTAGTGATGCTACAATCGCCATTGATACTGATTCAATGAAGAAGATGAGAGTTTTAGTAGTTTTCAAACTTTATCCTTTAGACGACATCGTTTTAATCATTACGGGCTTTATTTCTTAAATTGGGCCTAAGTCCAGGCCCATTATTCATGTGCTTGTAACCCTAATTTCATTGATATAAAAGCCATTGTTTCTCACTCTCAGCGTTTTTCTTCGAGCGAAACAAGAAAATGCAGATCTTCGTGAAAACCCTAACGGGGAAGACAATAACCCTAGAGGTTGAATCATCAGACACAATCGACAATGTGAAAGCGAAGATTCAAGACAAAGAAGGAATCCCACCGGATCAGCAACGGTTAATCTTCGCCGGAAAACAATTGGAAGATGGAAGAACACTCGCTGATTACAACATTCAGAAAGAGTCGACGCTTCATTTGGTGCTTCGTCTGAGAGGAGGTGCGAAGAAGAGGAAGAAGAAGACGTACACGAAACCTAAGAAGATTAAGCATAAGCATAAGAAAGTGAAGCTAGCGGTTTTGCAGTTTTACAAGGTTGATGGAAGTGGAAAAGTTCAGAGGTTGAGGAAAGAGTGTCCTTCTGTTAGCTGTGGTCCTGGAACTTTCATGGCGAGTCATTTTGATAGACATTATTGTGGGAAATGTGGAACTACTTACGTGTTCAAGAAGGCTGATGAAGAGTGATGATGATTGGGTTAGGTTATGTTTTTTTTTTCTATCTCTTTTTTACTTTGGAATTTTAATTCAGATATTTTGAGATGGTTTTGTTCTATTGAGGGATGGTTTTTATTATTCCATTAATACATTATATTATCTTTGATTAGAAATTTGCTCAATTTTTTTTTGTTTTATTATGCTTGGACTGATGTGGAAATGGTGAATTGTGGCTGTAGAATTAGGATGTTGTGTTGAACCAATGATTTGCTACATTGCTTTAGTTTTAGTATGGATTAGTGGAAGGCGAAATCTACCCCTTATGTCGATTCTGATCATATTGTTACACCATTAATGTCTTAAGTTTTGTTGTTGTCGGCTCTGGTAACTTGTTTGCTAAGATAGGTTTTAGATTCTCTCAGATATTGATAGCATGTGTGTTAGACCCTTAACATGTGTTGTCTTTGTAGTCTTATCTTGATTTCAAAGCTTCTCTTTTATGTTAACAGTGAGGTTTGACCAAGTATCGAACTTGTGTTTCTATGTTATGTAAAGTTTGAGTTTGTTTGAAACTAGAAATGAGAAGTATATGTGGAGAAGAAGACTGTTAAACCAAAAAGCCATACCTATGAACATGTTTTATGATATTTTAATCTAATCTCTTAAATGTTACCTTTGTGTGTGGGTTGCTAAAACGTGTGCTTTAATCAAAATGGGTCGAAACTTGTCCAGTCCAGGGTTGGGTCATTGCATTGGATTCCACCTACACAAATTTTTTTACCAATGGGTATGAAATTGAGTAAATATTATTATGTTTAGTCTTTTTCTTGTGGTTGAACACAAAATAGGAGATGAGAGTAAGTGAGACAGAGAGAGCAATAAAGAGAGGGACAGTAGAAATAACATGACATAGAGAAAGCACTGAAACTTGAAGAGAGGGAGAGAGAGAGAAGACTTTGGGCAAAATGGTCAAGAAACAGTTAGCAAAATGTGAGAGAGAAGGACAAAATCCTAAGATTCCGAGTTACTAAAAGTGATGAGTCTCCTAGAAACACCCGCACTAGTCTCAACTCACTGCACTTTCATTTTCAGTCTCACTTCAACCAAAACTCCAAAAGACTGTTGAGTTTTGTGAGAGAGATTCATTAAATCCCATTTAAAGAGACAACTACACATGAGACAAAGAGGCATTTCTTTCTCAACCTCACTTGTTTTTTTCTTTATAACTTGCAAACCAAACCACACCACATCACATCATTTGTTAACCCCACCTCTCTTCGATCCACTGTCTATCTTGTGCAACGTGGCTTTCCATTTTCACATGTTCATTTTTAACACTACTACTCTTTACCGTTGATTTTATGATTTTGTTATTCTATTGTTATCTCACAATAACTCATATTTATCTTGCACGGTTATGTATCAGAAAAACGATCGTGAAATGGTTTTGAAGGGAACTTATATGTTTTCTGTTTATAGGTTTATAAAATATGTTTTGCCAACAAAAGTGTCTCCTCTAATGGTAAACGTTCAAATGTTATGTATCATTTTCATATAAAAAATCTTATAATAATGCTTTTGTCTAACCGGAATCGGATCTTAATTAGAGAAAAGTCACGTGAATTGTCACTAGAACTTCATAATCAACAACATATTATAAATACACATAATGTATTTTTATTTTAGAGAGAAAATGTAGTTTGATATTAAGGAGTTAATTAGCTAGCTAGGAATTAATGTGATTAATAGAAAGAATGAGAATCATTTACTGCTTACAGCTCATCGAGACGAAAAAGATTCCAATTAATAGAAATGAGATAGAGACGCACATAAGTTGAATTGAGTTGTGCATTTTAGCATATAACCAAAGCATTACACATGAAAGTTATAATTATACATTTGCATTAATGATTAACCATACCTATCTCTCTATCTATATAAAAACATACACCCACACACACATATATCTCCTATCATTCATCGTACACACACACTCTCTCTCTCTCTATGACAAAACTCCCCAACATGACAACACTCAACCATCTGCTTGATCTGCCGGGGCAGATTTGCCATGTCCAATGTGGTTTTTGCACCACTATTTTACTGGTACACCTTAACTATTCTTCTCTTCCCATCTCTCTTCCTCTCTTTATATTTATGATCATGAATTTGATGAATATATATGTGTTGCAGGTGAGTGTACCCTTCACAAGCTTGTCAATGGTAGTGACTGTGAGATGTGGGCATTGCACAAGCCTTCTCTCTGTCAATTTGATGAAGGCTTCCTTTATTCCTCTCCATCTCCTTGCTTCTCTGTCCCATCTTGATGAGGTTACCATAATTAACATCCATACATAGAAAATAATATGCATCTTTATATGATCAATATATATATACTTCTCTTGATTATATATAAATATGTGCGCAGACGGGGAAAGAGGAGGTTGCAGCTACGGATGCTGTGGAAGAAGAAGCATGGAAGGTGAATCAGGAGAAGGAGAACAGTCCAACGACTTTGGTTTCATCTTCAGACAATGAAGATGAAGATGTCTCTCGTGTTTACCAAGTTGTCAATAAACGTACGTTTGAGTATATTTTTTTGTTTACAATTTTGGTTTTGTGATTTCTCAGCTTATTTGATTAGTCTAATTAATGTGTTTGAGTTTGTATACAGCTCCTGAGAAACGACAAAGAGCTCCTTCAGCTTACAATTGCTTCATCAAGTAAGAAATCAATCCAACACACTATCTTCATATATAGTTTCATTTCTACGCTTATCTTACAACTTTTAACAAGCTTTTGGAGTTAATTGGTTTCCTTTTTGTGGGGATGGCTTGGAGCAGGGAAGAGATCAGGAGGTTAAAGGCTCAGAATCCAAGCATGGCTCACAAGGAAGCTTTCAGCTTAGCTGCCAAAAATGTACTTAGAGCTTAATTTTGAAGAAGAAAACCCCTAATTTAGTTTTCATCTCTTAGTCAGCTTAATTGAGAGATCTAGTAAGCTAATAACATTTTGTGATTTCAATTTGTTTGATTTGGGGATGGTGAAGTGGGCCCATTTTCCTCCAGTTCACAACAAGAGAGCTGCTTCAGATCAATGTTTTTGTGAGGAAGATAACAATGCAATTCTACCATGCAATGCTTTTGAGGTAATTTCAGTAACTAATATTAATTTAAGCTTTATCCTTAGTGATATAGCTTGCTTCAAGATCGATTATCATATAGTACTTCACAAGTTAACTCCACAAAAAAGTGTCATATTCAAAGCAAACCAAATAAGCATTAATCCATTTAGCATCACTATCGGTAAAAATTTCAGAACCCTAGCTAGAGTAATTATTTACTGATTATTAGAGTGAAAGCAAGGAGAGGGGTAAGTGAGAATCATTGATCCTCAACTACTACAATGTGTGAAATTTATGACGTAAACCCTTATATAGTATTGAAGCTTACACTGCACACAGTTTACTTTTATAGAAACCCATTCAACTAATTAAAGCATTCAAGCTGAATGTGTATATTTTTCAATTAATATTGTTGAAATGTTTGGGATGCAGGACCATGAAGAAAGCAATAATGGGTTCCGAGAGAGAAAGGCTCAGAGGCATTCCATTTGGGGAAAATCTCCATTTGAGTATAACAATTTGGGATATGAAATTTTAACAAAAAAATAATAATGGCATATGACATGTGATGGTGACTCTTTTCTTCTAGGGTTTGATTATGTTGCTTTAGGGTTTCTGTTGTTGGAGAGAGATAGAGGGAAGAAGAATCTAAGACGTACGTAGGATTTGTGTGTTCGAGAAGAGTCTTGGGAATGAGCGAGTATGTTCAGTAGTTTAGTAGTACTTCTCAACTTTGAACTTAATTTGAAGAGACATTGACTCTATACCAAATCCTACTTTTGCATTCATGACTACTCTTATTCCATGAATGTTTTAACATTCCACGAAACAGTACTTTAGTAAGCAGAATCTTTGTTAAGCTATCATAAATTCATAATAAAGATCCTTCTTGATGACTTCGCTTAATGCTTTTGTACGTACGATAAAGAAAAACAAACGCATTAGTAATCTATATATATTAATGTTTTTGAGATTTACATTTGACCGTTCTTAGTTACTTAGTTACTATGAAGTAAAATATAGAACCATCAATATTCACGAAACAAAAAGGTTAAAAGAAATTAATTTTCATCATAATTAACTATATATGTAGCTTGAAACATGCCCTTTTTCTTTCAACTAAAAAAAACAGACCAATTCCGATTTGTAAATGCATGAACAAATCTTGGTATAGAGTTGGATCGACCGGAATCCTTTAAACATATCATTAATTTTTGCCAGTGCCGGTCCGAGCATTTGTGAGGCCCTACACGAAAAATAAAATAATGCCCAATATATTTATAAGTTTTAGGGCTAAATTTTTTTTTGACCTATTTTTAGTAAATTATACAAAAATAATGATATTTTGAATATTATTACATTCAAATTTAATTGTTTGGGCCCTATTTTATTTATTTTTTTCGAAAAAAACTTTAGTTTTTACTAAATATTTTCATTTTATGGGCCTTTTTACCAAAAAAAAAAAAAAAAAAACCTTAAAAAAAAAAAAAAATTTGTGGTGCCCCAAGCCACCGCTTGGGTGGCCTGTCCTGCGGGCCGGCTCTGATTTTTGCAATAATAAACTGCCGGTGGATCTGCATGAACATAAAGAAACCATAGTTAAACTTAAACCTGAACCGATTCACATAACAAACTCGTTAATCTTTTGTCACGGCGAGGGGAATAATAATAAGAAGAAAAAAATCATACTAAGAGATTGACATTGCAGTTTAGATATTGTCATAACTTGTTATTATTATTATTATTTTTTTTTTTTGCTAAGAATGTAAATATTTCATAAAATGAAAAATGTTTAGGTTTACAATCGATGATTATAATCCTAGAAAATGGTTCCATGGCAAAAAATATAAAAACATGGAAGCATAAGTTAGTAACCACGGTTTTCGGTCCATCCACTCAACCATAGCGAAAGAGCTATGAGAGTTAAATGAAGCGATGACGATTTTGTTGTTCTTCCTAGAAGAATTGCAAAAGGAGAAGGGCGACTGCAAATTGTGACCGCCGAGTTGCAGAAGACACATAGCTCTAGAAGCCTTTCAAAGGAGGCCCGAGACCGAGATGTCAACGGAAAAGAACTCCAAACCCTGCCACACATTCTCTCCTCGCAAAATGCAGAAGCGATTCTTTGATCAAGTCCATGAGCTTTCTTTGGACGGAACCTCACACGCCACATTATGCCAACAGTGTGTGCTCCCTCTACCAAGTTCACCCGAAGTCGGCTAGCGCAGAGCAATAATAAAAACAGTTCACCACCACACCAAAGGCCATTAGCCTTACTAGCTCCTCTATAGCACAATCTTAACGCAAGCAAGAGGCGGACACTCAAAGCATAGCAAACTTCTACCAAAAGGCAAAAACAAAAGCAAGCCACAACAAAACCAGGCCTTGAACCAAACCAAAAGTCTTGGTATACATGTAACGTCCTCAATTGGCGATGAAAGCTAGTACCACCGGTAACTAAAACATCAACAAATCAAACACTACTGCAGCCAGAAGAATGATCAAAAGAGCATCCGAAAAGACAAAACAACTTGACCTGCCACGAGGAAGCACTCTCCTAATAATCCTGCCAATGTCCACGAGCAGAAGATGCCAACAGAGAAATGCTTCTTCCAAACGTCAAGGCTTGTCGAGACAGAAAACTCAAAGCAGAATCAAACAACAGCCAAGTCCTGAACCCTAAGCGAAGGAGA